GCGCGTGGGGAGGCCAGCGGCCTCTTGCATAACCCAGGAGGCCTCCTGCCCACCCAGGCCTTTTCAGGGTTAGGGGTGAGGCAAACCGCAAACTCATGCCCAGTTAATTTTTTAAGGCAAAATCAACAGTCTCAGCAATGATTAGCAGGCAGGTAAGTTCATCTTAATCATGCTGAGGAGAGGGAGGGAGGAAAGAGGCCTGTGGAGGCCCGGGGATGGGGCCCAGTTATCAGTTAACCATGTGAATAGTGTTTCTTTCCAATCCCACTGGCCTTCAGCCCCAGCTCCCTCGTCTTCCTCTCGGAAATGCTCCTGGGGCAACCTGGTGGCCATCAGTCACTGAGTGAACAAACACACAGGGCCATCCACGGTCTGTAGGAGAGGAAGCGAAGGGGACTGACCTCCTTGTTCAGTCCAAGCTTACCTGCCACCACTGAGTGGCCTGGAGCAATTCCCAAGTCCCTTCTAGCCTCTGGGGCTCAGGGAGGGGCCCCTGGTCTCTGGCCAGCTCCACTCTTCAAACTACAGCAGCTTCCATTTGCCGACAGCCTCAGTGTCTCCATGTGCCAAAGGAGTGGGTCAGGGACACAGCCTGTCCAGTGCTGTGGGGTCCCTTGGGGATTAAGCCATGGCAGTGTGAGCAGGTGGTCCGTCGGGGGCTCCAGGAGGAGCCCAGAGGCCCAGACCGCCAGGGCGCCTACCTGGCATCTGCTGTTGAGACCAGGAAGCATCAGATCCCAACTCTGGGCAGGAAGCTGTCCTCTCAGGTGGGAGGTGGGGGTCCTTGGCGGTCCCCAGCTGCCCTTGGCCTCCTACCCCAGATCTTGGGAGCTGTCGGGAAGCAGCCAGACTGGGCCAGCCTGGGGCCAGGTGGCGGCTAGACTGGAGTTTGGTCAGCAGTTGGGAACCTATATTGTGAGATAGTTAGGACTTTGTCCACAAACTGGAATTTGAAATTTCAAAGGGGCAAAACTGAAGGGCCCTACCCCACAGGGGAGATGGCTCTTGGCTTCTTTCCCCCACGACTTTTGTTCTTTGTCTTGATAAAATCCTGGTTCTCTCTGCCCCACGCCCCGCGTGGCTGGTGGAGGAGAAAGAGTAGGAGTTGCTGGAGTGGTGAGTCCCCAGGAGAGGACAGGCACCAGGTGGCCCTGGGGTGGCTGGGCACCTGGAGGATGCCTCTCAACCTCCATGTGTCTGGGAATCGGACTGTGACTCCTCAGGCCCTTGGGTGCCCTGGCTGTGTCTGGAACCAGTCCTGAGCTCCAGAATTCTGAAGTTCTTCTGGAGACTCCAGGAGTGGGGCAACAAGGGAGCTCTAGAGCCAGGTGGTTCAAATGGCAGCCCCTCTGCTGCACTCTGTGGCCTTGGGACAGTCATTTCACCTCTCTGAATCTCAGTTTTGCCATCTATCAGGTGAGGAAGTCTGGGGACGTCAGATAAAATGAAGAGTTGTGGTTCTCAGCACCAGGCCTAGCACATCTCTATAAACATTAGCCATTAGTGTAATTTAAAAGAAAACTCTGCCTTCTATAGTGGCTCGCCCTTACCTGTGCATGGCAGAGGCATGTGATCCGGGCCCACGGGTGGCAGCCTCTCCTTCCCTTCTTAAACTCCTCTCCTGGACCTTCAAGCGAGCTCTGCCGTCCTGTCAGCTCCTGGGAGCTGCTGCCCTTTGGAGCTGGGTCCTGACAGCTCCAGAGGAAGGGGAAGAATCGATGGCTTCAAGTCCAGGGCTCATTCAGGGCTGGGCAGGCCACACCTGGGAGCTTTCCAGAGATAGGGTCCCAATTCCCAAAGATCCTGTGGCCAGCAGCTCAAGGAGTCCAGCACCAACGACAGTGACCCCTGCTATTTTGCCCTTCAAGGGATTGGTTCCAGGACGCTCTCCAAGGCCAAAATCAGTGTTTCAAGTCCTTACTATAAATTGCTTAATATAATTTGCACATGACCTACAGACATCCTCAATCATTACGAGATATACTACCGAATACGTTGTGAATGCTTTGTACGGAGTGGTTATACTGTATTGTGTAGGCAAAGAAATAATGGCAAGGAAAAATCTTCTGTGCTATAGCCAGGTGTGGTCCCAGGTCTTTGGGAAGCTAAGGCGGGAGGATCGCTGGAGGCCAGGCCTTGAGTTCAAGGCCAGCCTGGACAACATAGCGAGACCCGTCTCAAAAACAAACATCCTGCACACGTTCAGTTGTGACACAAATTTTTCCGTCTGAGGTTGGTTGAATCCTCTGATTCAGAAACTCTGGGTCCAGAGGGCCTATATGTGGCCATTCAATGCCTGCTCCATCCCCTGAAGAGGAGATCAACCCCATTTTTCTGATGCTGAAAGTAAAGCCAAGAGAAGTAGAACCTGAGATCCCAGAGTTTGGTCAATTACAGCACCTGGATTTTGACCCAGATCTGTCTGACTTTCAAGCTTTATGGTTTATGCCCCTAAAGGGAAATGGTGGGGTAGAAAAACTGCGAACCATATAGTATTTTCTCATTTAATCTTTTTTAAAAAAGCCCTGTAAGTTAGGCCCATTGTTTGGAAGGAGAATCCAGTGATTCAGAATAACTCACCTGAGGTGCAGAGCCAGGGGATCTCACGGGCAAAGCATCATTTATGGGAGGAAAGTAGATTTGTAAGACACGGTTCCACGTTGGCTGAAGGTGGGGTGAATTGTGTATATGCTAGAAGATGCAATTTGTAGTTGACGAACAGGTAGATTTACTTCTGGAGTAGATCTCATGGGGTAGGACAGGGATCTGGCCTGAGCCTCGTGGGCCGCGTGCCATGCTGTGGGTAAGTCACATCCACCGTGGTTGGTGCACCTCATAGCTCCCGGCGTCCACCTGGAGTTCTTGTGTGTGGCATGGTGTGGCCTGGCTGACCCTGCTTGATCGTAGACCTTATGTCATTACATCTCAGTCATCATCTCTGGGAAGATGCATGGTTGTTTGGTTGCCTAATTAAACTCTGACTTGCCAATGATCACACTCCAGTTTTGGAAATCTGGAAGTGCGCCTCTTACCGTTGATGAATCACGGGACATACGGGACGAGTACCACTGGACTGTGTAAGGGGAAGTTGTGCATGGGTTGTCACAGGTGGCAGATAAGGTGGCAGGGGCCTGGGTGCCCCCACTGGCCCCTCCCTGAGCAGCTGTGCATTTCTCCTGTGTTTATCCTCTAGCTGGGTCTTCCCAACTTCCCACCCAGTCCAGTGTTGCCCTGAAGGCCACCGGAGCTGGCTCCAGATGTTCTGTGCTGGAGCACAGGAGGAACCGGCCAGCATCTGAATCCCAGGTGTGGGTTGGGCTAACCAGAAACAACTAGACCAGGATTGTCTCCCCATTTTACAGATGAGGTTATTGAAGCCCTGGGACAAGATGTGGTGTAAACACAGCCATCCGAATAGTGACAGGGCTGGTTTCTAAACCCCAGTCTCCTGGCAGCCAATCCTGCCTCTGTTCTCCCCCTCTTCTTATGCACCTCCTCCCACACCCCCACCTCCTCACCTCCAGGGATAGAGGGGGAAGGGGGAGAATAAAGCTAACCAGGGCAAAGGAAGGGCTTCTGGTGGTTGAAGAACATGGAGAGGGCACACCTCCTGCCTTTGCCCCTCTTCCATTCCCCTGCCCATGCGCTCACCCCTAGCTCCCTCACGCTTCACCCACCAGGGCTCCTGGGCTGGCCCTCCCCCTCTTTCCCTGGGTTATTACCACATCCCCCCCTCCACCCCCGACCTCCCTTCTGACCAGCAGAGCAGGACAGGCCCAGGCCTCCTAAGTCTCTGCATTGCAATGCCATCTCCCTGGCTGGCGTTGGAGCCCTTGAACGCGTCTGTAGAGAAGGCGCAGAGGGTTGCAGGGCATGAGAAGGACCAGCGGAGACGAGAGCTGAAGACAGACCGGGCACGCTGCAGAATTTTGAGAGCCCAGTCCCAAATGAAAGTGCAGGGCACCTTGTTCAGACATCACAAAAGATGTCAAGAGCAACAGCACAGCACTGACCGCGCGCAGGGCCCTTCTGAAGGTGACCGCACTGCAGGTACAGCCATGAAGCCCCGCTGCATGGAGGAACTGTGTGCAGAGTGACAGGGAGACAGGAACGGGGTTTTTTCTTCTGCCATCTCATTACTAAACTGCCTTTGAGGTTGACTGTACCTTTTACAGAGAAGGAAACTGAGGCTCAGCGAGGAGAATCATTTACCCAGAGTGATGATTAGGGGGTGGCAGGCGCCTGAGTGCTAACCCAGGCCTGCCGGGCTGCAAGCCTTGTCTCAGCCTGTGTCTGGGAGTGGGCGGGGGCCGAGGGAAGCAAAAGATGAGACCAGGAATCAGTGGAGCTATGTGGCTAGTGGTAGCCATTGGGGAGTCATAGAAAGCCGGGGAGGGACCTAGAGTTGAGCCCCATCCTCCCAACACTTCCAGTCCGTCCTGTTCCCAGGACAAGTGGGAAAATGGAAGGGAACTGGAAGGGAGCTCCCAGGATCCACAGGACTCCTGCTTGGGCCTGGGATTAGGTTTCCATTCATGGTCCACAGGGAGATTTATCTCTGCAGGAGCACTGAGGGGTGAAGTCAATGATTTAGGAAGTGACTGAGTTAGGGCGTCCTGGAGGTAGACTGTCACTGCCTGAGCATCCAGTCTGAATGTCCCACTTGGGGTGACAGTGACTGTGGAGTGGCCGAGTCAGGGGTCAAATGAATGCCAGCACATTCGGCGCCTGCCTTGCAGAACCGATAACTGAATACTGGTGAGGGCCCCCGGCCTTGTAATTAGCCCCCCAGGTGTCAGTCAGAAACCAACAAACAACCAAATCCCCGGCCCCGCCCAGCCTATCCACCAGCGGGGGACGATTAACCATTAACCCCCAGCCCTCCCCGGCACAGCCTCCACCCCTTCACAGAAGCTAGGCCCAGACTCCAGGCTGAGCCTCCCAGAGGACAGTTTGAAAGGAAGGAAGGCAGAGAAGGGATCTGGGGGGAGATAGGGGGAGGGTGGAGGGCAGGGGCTGGGAGTGGGCATCCTGGGTAGGGTGGGTGGCCGAGGCGCGGAGGTAGGGGAGAATGCGCCTCTCCAAAACTCTCGTCGACATGGATATGGCTGACTACAGTGCCGCGCTGGACCCGGCCTACACCACCCTGGAATTTGAGAATGTGCAGGTGTTGAGCATGGGCAATGGTAGGTGGGGCAGGTGTGCCCAGGTATGGGAGCCGATCTTTGGCACTTGGCTTTGGGGTGGGAGGAGAATGGTAGAAAATGGTAGGTGGGTCCTGTGGGCTGCACAGATGTTGCCAGGTGAAGCCCAGGTACCACAGCCAGAGGCATTCTGGGTGAGGGGAGCCTGGCCAGGGCAGATTTTCAGCAAAAATGGATCCCAGTATCCCCCTATTCCAGGCCCTTCCACAGTCCCTGTGACCTCAGAGCTGTCCTGCTGGGCCTGCCGCTGGCAACAGAGATGTAAAGAGGAGCTCCTTTTCAGTGTCCAGTTCCAATAATTCAAACCAACATGCCCCCCTGGAGGCCCTTGGCCTAGGTCAGAGAGATGGAAAGGTGCTTGCCCCTGGAGACAGTGGCTGGAGGCATAGCTGCATTTCAGAGTGTCCTTGGGACTTTCCCCGGGGAATTGGAGTGTAGAAAGGGAGCTCTCGGGCAAGATTAGCTGGCTGAGAGGCCACCTCAGCTGTGTGCTGTGTGTGATCCTGTTTCTGTGTGTGATCCCGAGTTTCTGTGTAGTGTCTGGGAGGGGCAGACGCGTATCTTTGGAAATACATTGGCCTATTTGTGTTGTTGGCCTGTGTGTGTTCTGCATCTGTTCCTGTTGGTATTTGTTCCTCGAGTAGGTCTGTCTATGTCCCAGGGCTGTCTGTGTGTCTTGTTTATGTAACATAAGCAGCCTGAGTGTGTGTGCAGGTCTGTGGATGTCTGTTCACAAGTGCCATGTTAGCTGGCTACATTGGGGGAGGTGGGCACACGTTTTTGTGCCCTGTGCTTTCTGCCTGTGTGTCCTGCGTGCCATTCTGCAGGGCACCCATGTCTGCACCTGCTGTATGTCTGTGCATATCCCCTGGGTGGGGGTCAGTGTGTGACCTTGCAGAACCGTTGTGTGGATCTCTGCTGTAGCCATTCACCAAATGAGCTTCACACCAGCCACATCTCCATCTGCCTCTCAGCAGGTATTGTCGCCTGTGTGTGACTCTCCAGGTTGGTTCTCACATCACTAATGATGCATCTGTAGGTGCTGGGCGGTTCTCCGCAGGAGGTGGGAGGAAGCAGAAAGCCTGGAAGCAGGAAGACCCTGGAGGCAAAGGGCCCTAGCAAGTCCCAGGCCAGCCTCAGAACAGAGATGGCAGCTGGCCGAGGTCAGCCTGCCGCTGCTTCCTCCCACAGCTCTGAGCCCCTTGGTGTCAGGCTGCGGCTCTGGCGGAGGGCTGGAAAGTGCTGGTTCATGCAGCTAGAAAGAGGAGGCGGCAGCTGGGTCAGTCTCATTGGTGCTCACCCACCCCTGCCATCCACCATTGTGTGACCTTGGGCATGTCACCTCCTCTCTTGGCCTCTGCATCTTCTATAAAATGGGCTTCTCCACCCCAGGAGAAGCCCATCTGGCTTCTAGGAGGATCTGGGATGTTTCTGTTGCACGAGACAGGGTGTCTTGTGACCTCACAGGGACAGTACGTGTTGTCACACTCCTGGCCTCTACACAGTTCCATCCAGAGCCCAGGATTCGTGTGCTCCTGAGGCAAAGGTTGACTGGGTATCCCTAAGACACAACACCTCCAACTCTGGAGTCCAAAGGATTGGAGCTCAAATCTGACAGAGATCTTTCCCACCGGTGGGAACCCAGCAAGCTTCTTTCTTCCCTGAGCCTCAGTTTTCTTATCTATAGAATGGGATAGTAGTATCGCCTGCCTCCCAGGGCTAACCAGAGGATAAATAAGATAAGGTTCCTGAGTGCTTAGCCCTGGCCCCAACACGGGTCATCTCAAGGACTCTGGGCATCTGTAAGCAGAATCTGACTCCTCCACTGGCGCTTGCAGTTGTCTGGGTGTTGGGGTTACGTGACGTTGTCCTCTAAAGATTTGGGGGTATATTCTGAGCTGGTTGCTCGAAGGCTCCAAGGATAGACACCCATCCCCTACCCTAATTCAGAAGCAGCAGCGGGAGGGGTCCATGTTTCTTTTTTTCTTTTTTTTAATTTTGCAGTACTAGAGATAAAGCCTAGGGGCGCTCTACCACTAAGCTATATCCTCAGCCCATTATTTTTTACATTTTATGATAGGGTCTCTTTAAGTTGCTGAGCCTGGCCTCCAACTTGAAATCCTCCTGCCTCAGCCTCCCGAATCACTGGGATTTCAGGTGTGCGCCACCACACCACCTGGGGTCCTTGTTTCTTGAGACTCCAACAGACACCCCAGCATAGGCAGCATGGTGGAGCAGTGCAGCACACTCACACCATAAAATGGCCTCTCTACTTAGCATCAGTGTTACGACATTGGGCACGTCACTTGTCCCTTCTGAGCCTCGGTGTCCTCACCTGGAGAATGGGTGTGGTCAGCTGACTTCAGGGGGAAGATGATCTTCCTGATGGTACCCAGCCCATCCTGCCCAGAAGGGGGCCCCTTCCAGTCTCTGTCCGAATGTCAGGGAGTTTCAAATGTCAGGGAGTTTCGGAGTCAGCTCTCCCTGGGGGCCCAGGGAGGAGAGCTGAGGGAGAAAGGGCACCAGACGCAGCTTAACAATTATCCCTGTCTCCAGGAATAATTCACCAGGTGGAGGGGCCACACTCCTGCGCACACTCGGGAGTCCTAGGAGATGTTCAGCCAGGCGACGTCAGAGCTGAGATGTGGTCTGCTTGGCCATGCGGGCTCAGGTCATCTGAGGCAAGAGCCCCCTTCTGCAGAGACACTTTTATTTCACAGTCGCTGATACAGGGCTTTCTATGGGCCAAGCACTCCACATGTATCAATATGGGAATCCTCAGAACGACTCTAGGGGATCTTATTATGCTGCCTGGTTTACAAGTGAGGAGACAAGGCAGCCAGCATCACATGACCAAGTGGGCAAATTGGGATCTGATTCTGGACCACACGGTTTCAGAGCCTCTGCCCTAACTCCAGCACTACGTCCCTCTTCAGGCCTTAACCCATAGTCCCTTTAGGAGTCCAAGAGCAGATTCAGAGTTTCTGTGGAAACAGTCATGCACTTCTGAGGGAGGATGGTCTTGGGTTTTATTATCTTCTCTGAGGGCTTTATTCTTGGTGGAAGATTTGCTTACAAAAAAAGGGGGGCTCAAGGGCTGAGATTTTTTGAAATCTGAAAAGATCTGGACCAGTTGAACAACTCCCTTTTGTAGCTGGGGAAACTGAGGCTAGGGGAGATTAAAGCAGGAAAAGGAACTTGGCCAAGGCCAGCCTCAGCATGAGGTCCCTGGGACCCTGACACCACCTAAGCCCGAGGCTCCCTCACCTGCAGCCTCCAACCTCCCCTGCAGCCTCCAACCTCCCCTGATTTCAAACAGGTGTGGAGCCTTTTGCCTCTGGGACAGGAAGTATTTGAGAGGTGCCTAGACCTTGCCATGACCCTCCCAGGAGGCAAAGGAGTGAATGTTTCTCTTGCTCCCTAGGGAGCCTGCAGGGCTTATGGGCACCAAGCTGAGATGTACCCAGCCCTGGTCACTGGCAAGGAAGAGGGACAGGACCTGGATCTGGGGAGAAGCTGGGAGAATACTTGTCCCTTCCATGTCCCTTCTGCCCAACTAGGAGTCTCTGGGGTCAAACTCATCTCTGGAGTGGCCAGGTTTCATGGCTTCTGGAAAACTGGACTAGAAGCTTCCTTGAGGGGACAGGGCCCTAGCAGATGATTTTATCATTGTTGTTTTCCAAAATGAGATATGTTTTCAAAAGAGAGATCTCCAAACCCTCAGGAAGCAGAAAGGCCATGGGCCAATCTCACCCCACCCCCAGATGACCCTGTGAAGTTAGAAGACAATAGATGCAAAATGAGGCCACGTGACTTGCCCGAGGTCCATGACGGGTGTTAGGGTAGAAAGAACCTCTAGTCTGGCCTAGGCCGAAGCCCTAGAAAGATCTCCACAAGGTCCTGTGGTTCCTGGCTCTCCAGCCCTCCTGAGGCCTCACTCTTTCTCTTCTGGTACAGAAACATCCCCATCAGAAGGCACCAACCTCGCCGCGCCCAACAGCCTGGGTGTCAGTGCCCTGTGTGCCATCTGCGGAGATCGGGCCACGGGCAAACATTACGGTGCCTCGAGCTGCGACGGCTGCAAAGGCTTCTTCCGGAGGAGCGTGAGGAAGAACCACATGTATTCCTGCAGGTGAGGAGCCCCTCGGCCTCCATGTCTCCAGCTGGGAAATGGGCACACTTGGGCTCATGCTCCCCAGGGTCCAGCTCCTTCCCAAGTGGGTCCCAGAGGCCTCTGCCCTTTAAGGCCCTCAAGACACCTCTGGTTTCTTGGGCTTTGTGGATCTAGGTGGGAGCATCTACTCTACCAATCCGGCTTATTAACCATAGAGAGAAGAGACCCATCCTCCAAGATGACACTGTTTCTAAGACAAATGTGAGATTGGCCCATGGCCTTTCTGCTTCCTGAGGGTTTGGAGATCTCGCCTTTGAAAACATATCTCATTTTGGAAAACAACAATGATAAAATCACAGCCATGAGCAAATCCTGTGCCGAGCCTCATTCAGGTTTCAGCTCACTGTCCCCTGCCGACAGATACCCCTCTGAGGTGGTTACTATTATTTTTCCCATTTGATATATGAGGAAGCTGTGGTTTGGAGGATTCAGAATTTGCCCAAGATCAGCCACCTTGAATCAGTGATGGCACCCTGGTTGACCCTCAGGTCCTCACCCATAACTACTGTGTGGCCTCACCCCTACCTCAGACCCTCTCCCCCAGAGATGCTTCTGTGGACCAAGTATCGGCTGAGCCCTCACTGGGAGCCTGCTGTGGGCTCTGGGCTCTCACAAGATAGGGAGATAGCAGTGCTCCGGCACTCAAGAGACTAAGGTTCCCACTCAGCTTATCTCCAACCAGCTGGGTGATCAGGGCCCCATGTTGCCCCTCTGAGCCTCGGTTTCTCCATGTTTGGCAGGATAGGTGGTACTCTCAGAAAATCCACACGATCCCTCCATGTCCTGATGGGATATCATGAGAATTCCTGGGGTGCAGAGATAGAGCAAGGTTGCTGGGGTGGCCATATGGTCAGGGTCCCCATTCTGTCCTAAGATGGGGAAGTCGTGTCTTTTCCATCCAACCATCCCAAGTCCTCTCCAGATTCAGCCGACAGTGTGTGGTGGACAAAGACAAGAGGAACCAATGTCGCTACTGCAGGCTCAAGAAGTGCTTCCGGGCTGGCATGAAGAAGGAAGGTGAGCCTCAGCCCTCCCCTACCCACCACCGCCCCACCTGTGCCCATGGCTCCCTGACCGTCATTTACAACTGTAGCCACACTTTATGGCTCGGTGACAGGCCCCAGGGTGACTGGCTAATGGCTGAGAGGAGGGAGGGCCTGGAAATCTGACCATAGGGAGCGGCTGGGCTTGGTCTTGAGAAAGATTCAGAGATAAGCTCCCACTCAGATACTTGGGCTCCCAGCAACTGCCACCTCTGCCCTCCTGTCCCACCACGAGGGAGCCAAGCTGGGTGTTTCTTCTTAATGTAATATCTCAAACATTACAAAAAGCATAGAGTGTAATACTATAAGCATCTAAGGACCCACCACTCAAACTAATGGGCTCACTATTCCTGGGCTTCCTGTTCAAGGGACAAGTGTCCCAATTCCCCTGGCCCTCATTCTTGGGTATCGGGTGATCTCTAAAGTTTTCCTATTCTAGACAAAGGGAGCAAGGTGCCAGCCTCCTCCTGGATGGAGGAGGAGAGGGGAGAAACAGGGCACGGCATCCCTGATGGTCTCCCCAGGCTTCCTCACAAGCCAACACCAGTCATTAGGCTGACTTTTCCCACAATCCACTGCTCGTTCATTCTCGTGCCCACTCTGGCCCACTCTTTTTCTCAAACAAAGGCTCCCAGTGGGGAAGCACTTGCCTGAGGCCCCACAGCTGGTCAGTGGGAAGCCCAGCTTTGCACCTGGGCTTTGTGCTGTTTGGACAACACCTCAATGCTGCTGCCCCTCCACACCCTCCAGGCCCAAGGGATGTTTAAAAGTGGTTCCCATTTCAAAGTAACTGGAGTCATTTTCAAATCTTTTTGTTTTCTTCTTCTCTTGACTCACCTTTTGCAGCTCTGGGACTAACCTCAGGCCTTCACTTCCAGTCCTGTACAGTCCAGGTCTGGTCCCGTTCTCACACACACACACACACACATACCCCATCCAGAAGCAGAAACCTGGGACCCAGACTGCCCCAGGTCAACTAGGAAGGAGGTGAAGCTCAGCCTTGGTAGCCTCCTGTCCCCTGCCCCTGCCCCTGAGACCCTGGCTCATCTCTACAGGGCCTTAGTATCAACTTGGAATTTCCACTGGAAAATCTGGGTCTATCGTTACTGCTCCAGACACCACGATTCTAACACTTAGTGGTTCTCCAACGCAGTAGGAGTTTTGCAAAGTGCCAGCATCCCCTCTTCACACCACCACCCCAGTTTGCCTGGGGAGTAAGCCCTCTGACCCTCTGTCACCTTCAAGTTCAGGACCATCTTATGGATTGGGGGATATTATGAGAGGGGATGTGGTACACGTGTGAGTTTTGGAGATGAGACTGAACTACCGGCTGAGGGCCTCACATTCTATGGTTCCAGGGAACGGTGATTCTGTGACCCCAAAGGCCTAAGATTTGAGGCTCTATGATGGTCCAGAGGTGATATCCCAAAGACATTGTGTTTGAGAGAAGGAGTCTCATGTAGAACTATCATCTGGTGGCAGAGGGCTGGCAGCCCCCTCAGCTGAGGCCACCTGCCTGGGCTGTCTGTGTCCCGGTCCTGCCTATGGTCAGTCTTTATATATGTCTCTTGTTAACAACCAAAGTAATTTTCACCTGTGCAACTTTAGGGACATTCCCACCTCTTCTGGGCTCCTGTTTTCCATTTATAAAGCAAAGGAGCTGAACTGTCATCCACAGAGCCAGCAACCCCATATGTCGGCTCCCGGGAGGAAAATGGGCCCCAGGCTGTTCAGCCTTAGCTCAGCTTTGAGGATATCTGCCTGCCTCTTGGACCAGGAAAGCAGATATTTTCCAGGAGAACAGATTTGTGGATGGCCAGTGAGGGTGGGCCAGCAAATGCAGCTGCTTATCTGCATGCCTGGGTTATGTGGAAGACCATGGCCCATGCTTGGTTGCTTTGAGAATGGGACAGGGAAGCAGCTGTGGTCAAGGCCTTGGAAGTTAGGGTGTTGCTATCTTTAAGTCTTTTAGCCCACGACACCCCTTCTCAGGCTGATGAGAAATTCCCAAAGCCAAGTGGAAGTCAGTGGAAACTCAATGGCCAGGAGAGTTGGGGGCAGTTTTCTTTCCCTTGATGTCTACAGGAGGATTAGGGGACTGAAAACCAAGAGTAGTCCTGGAAGACCAACAGTAGGAGCTGGAAATGGAGGGTTTCTGGACTAGGTGAGTCTAGAAGTCATCAAATCTATCACTCTGCCCTTCATAGGTGGGGAAACTGAGGTGAGGGAGTCTGGCTTAGAACTCAGGCTCCTTGGCATGAGCAGGCACCAAGCTCCAGGGATTGAAATCATAGTGACGTGTTTGGGAGGCATGTTCTGGTCTGGACTCCTGACAACTTCCTCTGGACTACAGGGAAGAGCTGGAAATGACACAGGCCTGTGAGTCTTGGTCAGAAGAAAATTCCACAGTGTCTAGAAAGGGGTTCCCTGGGGGTGCAAAGACTTGGACGGGGGGTCTGGGGAGAAACCTGAGGATCCGTGAGCCCAATAGCAGCAGAGAATGGCGAGCAGCCATCTAGGCAGGGGAGAGGGACCCAGACGCCTGGCTCAGGCCCCGCCCCAGCGTTCTGTAGGAAGATGGGCTCATCTCCTCTCTGCCTCTGCCCTGGCCGGTTAATATTCAATGGAAGTTACATTAGGTCCCCGACCCCTGCTAATACTGAGCAAACATTTGGAAAACATCATTCCGTGACTGAGCTCGCGCCGGGCACTGATAAGGCCAGCTTAACCTTGAGGAGCCCTGTCCGCAGCTGCTGACGGCAGCCCTTTCATTGCACCCGCCTCCCCATGGCTCCCTGTTGGGTGCCGGCTGCCAGGGGAGGGGTGAGGCGCCTGGGTGAGCACCCACGGACAGGGATGTGGGCTAGAGGAGCTCTCCTACCTCAGGATCTCTGCTGCACCCCACTGACTCCTGGGCCCAATTTAGACTGTTTTGACCTTTATTCTCAACACTGTGAAATCAAGAGGAAGTGAAATAGTCTGGGTTGTCCGTGTTCCATGGAGAAACAGGGTGTTAGTAAGAATGAGAGCCATCTCTCCAACACCCTCTTCCACTCACTAACAAATATTTATTGAGCACCTACTGTGTGCCAGGCTGCGTTCCCGATGTTGGGGAGACAACAGAGAAGAAGAAGGCTAAAGTTCTGGTCTTCTGGAATCTTCCATCTCCTAGGGAGGTGGATAATAAAGAAGTTGACAAATAATTCTATAATAATTGCCTTAAAGAAAAATCAAGTAGGGTGAGAGGACAGGGCCTGAGGGAGGGGATGCCACATTGAACAGGGGATTGGAGGGGGAAGGTGATACTATTATGGAGACATGAATGAAGCGAGGAAGTCACTAAGTCCTAGGGGAAAGGGGATTGCAGGCTGTGGGTCAGCAGTGGCGGCCCTAAGGACGAGGGTGGTGTGTCTGGGTGGCGAGGGGTGCTGCAGATTTGGTAGGAACTTGAGGGGCAAGGCCTGCACCAGCCCAGAGGGGAGACAGTGGGCCACTGTGGACCTAGGGATTGCTGACAATGGGCAGGGTGAGTCAGTATGGGGTGGTGTGAGAGAAGTACAGGACGACTCCCAGGGTTTGGATGAAGGGCTGGGAGAATCCACCTGTGGCTTCCTGAGATGGGAGGAAATGCAGGGAGCAGGCTGAGGGGCAGAGCTGTGGGTGGGGACACTGAAGCCAGGAGTGGGGATGCCATTCCTAGTAGCAGAGAGAGAGAGAGGAATTCCAGACACGAGCCGAGGTCTCTGCAGCCTCTTTTTCCTGCTTCAGCAAAGCCTCGTTATACAGGGAGGCCTCTGGGACTCCAAGGGATGTGTCTGGGACAGTGGAAGGACAGTCTGATATCTTAGGCTAGACTGACTCTGGTGGTGGTGGGCACAGGCCTGGATCCCCGGTTCTGGAGGGCAGCCAGCATGGGCAGGAGGGAGGCAGCCTTGCCCTGCCAACTCTTGAGGTCAGCCCAGGCTCAGGGGTTCCTGCTACTGGATGAGCCACCAGGGAAGGTGGGTCCTCCAGGGACTCTGCCCAGGGCTAGGCTTCAGCCTGGTCTTCAGGAATCCTTGGCCATCTCTGGATCACCTGGTTCAACTCGTTTTGCTTTTTTTACACACTTTTCATTTGGAGAGAAAGGAACCCTCTTCCAAACCACTTGAAAACCTGTGATCTCTAAGCTCCCCTCCTCAGTGCCCCAGGCCCATCTTCAGTCCTGGTCAAGTCTCCAGTGTCTCACATGCCCCTGGGAATGGGCCATCACTCCTGCAGGCTGGTTTAGAACCTGCCTCCCTCATTCCCACATGCTGAGCTGGGCTGTATCCTCTGAATGTCCCACCACCGCTGGCCCTCCCGCTTCCTTCCCCTAGGGGCAGCCCTGAGTTGAACTCTCTCCTCTTGCACCACTCCTCAGGGTCATGGGACATCCACCCCGACCCTCTCTGCCCTCTCCTCACCTCTCCTGCCTCCTCACAGCCGTCCAAAATGAGCGGGACCGGATCAGCACTCGGAGGTCCAGCTACGAGGACAGCAGCCTGCCCTCCATCAATGCGCTCCTGCAGGCCGAGGTCCTGTCCCAGCAGGTACAGGGTGACACCTGGCGTGTCTCACACTATACAGTAGTCTTACTTCCTCCACCTCTGTCCTCCCTAGCCAGGCTCTGGAATATCAGATATTATGGATGGGAAACTGAGTCCCATGTCACATGGCCCGTTTCATAGCAAAGACAGAATTCGGTGTCGACCTGATGCTGCGGGGCACTGTGTACTTCGTCCCACATTCCGTAGGCCAAGCAGAGTCTGTGCTCTCAACTGAGGGCTTGACATCAGTCCCAAGAGAATAGAGGGGCAGACCACTAGACTGGGGTGTCAAACTGGGGCTCAGGTAACCCCTTGCTGTGTGGCGTCAAGCAAATCACAGCTCTTCTCTGGGCCATGGCAGCTCCCTCTATGAGATGAGGTGATGAATTTTTCCCAGCTTCTCCTCTAGGGCTGAGGGATTCCTGGGGCTCTAAGGAGCTGGAGGAGGAGCAGGCAAGGTCCAGAGAGAGCCCTCTCCCTCCTCTCTGTGTCCTCCCTTCTGTCCTTTTCCCCAGAGCTTCCTTCTGAGCTGGAAGGCACCCATTGGGCTCAGTCCCCTCCAGGCAGGGAAGAGTTTTGGGAAGCAGGCTCTGAGCAAGTGCTCAGCACTTCCTTCCTCTCTTGTAGATCACCTCCCCCGTCTCGGGGATCAACGGCGACATCCGTGCCAAGAAGATTGCCAACATTGCCGACGTCTGCGAGTCCATGAAGGAGCAGCTACTGGTGCTGGTGGAGTGGGCCAAGTACATCCCAGCTTTCTGTGAGCTCCTCCTGGATGACCAGGTGAGGGCACAGTCCTGCGGGTCCCCCTGTGAAAGAGCCTTAAACGGATTCGATTTTATTAAACATAACACATAGTGCTCATGTGTTCAAGTCACTCTACAAAGAATAACTCATTCAATCCCTCCAATGACTATGAGGCAGGTACTATGATTCTTCCCACCTTCTAGGTGAGGAAACGGGGGAATGGAAAGGTTAAGTTACTTGCTCAAGGTCACACAGATGGTCTCCTGCACAACTGGGATTAGAACCAGCCAGGGAAGCTCCAAAGTTCAGGCTCCTAACCACCACAGGACACAGCTCTTCTGGGGGGGGTGGTGACAGGGATTCAGCGACAGAAGTCAGGAGGTTTGGGCTTAGGACCAGTTCCCTGGGTGATCCTAGATAAATCACTTCTTTCTGACCCTCATTTTTCTTATCCGTCAAGTGGGAATTCTTCCCATCAGAGTGCTGTCAAGAGGACAGAGGATGTTACTGTTTGATAGGTGCAGGATGGCAGCTGGACCACAGCAGGCCTCCCCACCATCAGATTCTTTCTTGTTTTCAACAAGATGGGTTTCCCTTAGCATTTAATTTCTCAAAATTCCTACTTCCGAACACTGAAAATCTCCCATGGGTGAAAAAGGCCTGGGAATGTAGTGTGTGACTGAGAACAAATGGCTTTCTAAGGTGCTGCATGTGACAGAGCCCCCCTTCCCTACTCCACCAACTGCATTGACCTCACAGACAACACCTGGGGGCTGGGAGAAGGGACGTGGACTGAGCCACTGTCACAGTGTTGGAGGAAGCATCTGGTGCCTTTGCACAAGACAAGCCTTGCAGCCAGGCTGGTCTTTCTCAAAGAAACTTCCCAAACTTCTTTGGCCCCTGGGCTCTAGGGAATCGTTGTAAGATGGCCCCATGGGTGCTCTATGAAAACCCTGATGTGGCTCTTCTGCAGCCTCTCCAGGGGCTGGACCAGAAGCCCTCTTCCCCGGATTCCTCCCGCCCTTAGGAGAATCGACGGGCAGGGATCTTGTCCAAGCTGCCCCCGACTTCTCCCCTAGCCCTCGTGCTCTGGCTGCAGTCCCTCTGCAGTCTTCCAGGGTGTCCGCATTAATGTTTAATCCCCCTGTTCCTTCCCAGGGGCTTAGCAGGGCAACAAGATACCCCGAAGCTGAGCAATTGTTAACCTCAATTTCCCACCCAAACCTCTCTGGCTGGGGCTCAGAGCATTCTCAGAGGGCAGTGATGGGTGGCCAATAACACCAGACAATCATTAACACCCGCCAGCTGCCCGCCCCCCAGCACAGCTGCCACATCAGGGCTCGACCTGGGAACCCATTCATGGTGTAAAAGGAGCCCATCTTGCCCAGCACACATAGGGCCCACCTGGGAGAGTTAAGGTCATTGTACCCCAAAGGACTTGGCATTCCTGTTGACATTGCCCCAGGAACGAGCTTCTGAGTGCGTGTGCTTCTTGGCTTATTTTGGACATTCATCTGCTGAGACCTGGAAGTGGCTGGGGATGAATGCACAAGGAGATTGAGGACAAGAGAGAGAGAGAGTGAGTGGCCTAAAGCCACAGAGCAAGCTGACCGCAGAGCTGGGATCTGAATCCAGGTTCCCTGCCTCACAGTTTGAGAGCCACTGTCTGATTGACACAAGGTCTGCTCGGTGCCTGGCCAACCGGCGATGCCGGGTGACCAGCATCCCTTCCTTCCTTCCTTGGTCATGGAAAGTGGATTCTCACCTCCAAGGTGTCCCATGTTTCCTCTTTTTCAGTTTTCCTTCTGGCCACAGTGGGACAAAAGGGGTTAGGACAGAGGATGCCCAGGAGGGGTTAGATCTGGAGAGGAAGCTGTATGCACATGCCTTCTTCCCTGAACCTGTTCCTTCTTTCATTCACTCAAATGTCTATGAGGAGCTTCCTATGTGCCAGGGACCTTCCAGGCCTCACAGCACCTTACCTCCTTGGAGAGACCCCCCCACCTCATCTTTTGATGCTCTACTCACCCCCTCGCCCTGACCACACAGCACTCAGTTTCCTTCTCTCCCTTCCTATGAAGCCCTGTGGCCCTCTGTCCCATTTCCTTGTCTTGTACTTTATTATCTGGCCCTCTACAGAGAGAGTTAGTTCTATGATCCTAGAGATCGTACCCTTATATCTTACCCTTAGATCTTACCCATCATCTAAGGGAGTGTCAGACACTTAGTAGGCACTTACCACTTCATAGCTGAGAGAAAACAATGCAGCGGATGACTGATGATAGCACTTCACCCTCCAGCGTGGCTTGCTACAGAGCCTCCAAAGCCCCAAGCCCCACTTTGAAGGCAAGATCCTCAAGACAGCTGGCCTGCCCCTGGATTTCAAGCCCATGTTTTATCCTCATGCAAGGCAGATGACTTTGACAGGACAGACATGCCCTGTGAGTCAGCTGGGCCCTGCATCAGACTTCATCCTTCACAGGCTCTGTCCTCCCTGCAGGGAAGGGGCCTGCTAGCTGCCTCTACCATACCTTTGCCTTGGGTCGACCCTCTTCTGAGAACCAACATCCATCTCCAAGTTCTTGAAAAATTTCTCAGAATCCTAGACTTTTCTGATGTCAAGTGGACAGATGCCCTGGGAACTTCCAGACCAGTGATTTCCAAACTCAGCGGGGCTTCTGGATCCTCTGGGGAGCATGTGTAATGCGGACCCCTGAGCCTGCTCCTTATATAATCAGAATCGCCAGAGTCTGGCCTCAGGATCTGCACTTCCATATAGCACCTTGCATAATTCTTGGCAACTGGTCCATGGGTAGGAACTTGGGATCCACAATTTTAGAACATTTGGGGCAATAGACTTTTGAAAATCTGATGAGCTTCTTCTGCTCAAAGGGGGATGATGGCAGTGCGGGTCATAGGGAGAGAAGGGACTTGGTCCAATATCATTTTACAGTCAAACCCATTAATTTGTACAATTAATATGTGCCAATAATAATGATTTTTAAAAGAATACACTTAGAATGCTACCTCCAGTTGCCCCAGGCACACAAATGAGGGGTGGGGAGAGCAGCTACTTGTTCAATGACAACAGCAGTTCAAGGGCAGACTCAAGGAGAGGTCTCTCGGCTCTAAGGATCTGTTCTTTCTTCTTCTGACTTTCTACCAAACCCTAACCAAGCCCCTCATTGATCCACTGTAGAAGGAAAACAGCAGTTTTGTGATGTCCATTTCATAGTTCAGACAAGTTAAAGGCAGAGGGAACACTAAGCTGTCTTTCCCAGGGTCACTGTGTTGGCCAGGAGCAGCCTTACCAGGGGCTCAGACGCTAGACGCCATCCCTTCTCCCTTCCAGGTGGCCCTGCTCAGAGCGCATGCCGGGGAGCACCTGCTGCTTGGAGCCACCAAGAGATCCATGGTGTTCAAAGACGTGCTGCTCCTAGGTGAGAAGCTGCCTGTCCCAGCCAGCTCTGTGCAAGGGGCACACCCAAGCAACAGAGAGCTCGGTGGTGGGGCCCTCGGGGCAGGGCAACAGACCAACACGGCCAGGTTGTCTCTCAGGCTTGCGAGAGAGGGTTCCAGGACTCGGTTCTCTGCTAGATGCCCCACTCAGACACAAGGAAGTGTGGATGCAAACAAGGAAATCTCCCAGGTCTTGAAGATGGAGCTCAGTCAGGGTTACCCCTGGAATTACCCTTGAATTCTGACGTTCTTTCTGGACTAGGAACAAGAAGAGGCCAGGAATGGCACAAACCCCCATCCATGTCTTCTGCCTCCCTGATATATTTATTATTTTAAATGCTTTTAAAAGCACACTTCCTATGCCATGGACTACACTGACTACTTCACCAACTTTATTTATTTATTTATTTAGATACTGGGGAGTAATCCCAGGGAAGCTTCACCACTGAGCTATTTCCCCAGGACTTTATTTTTTATTTTGAGACAGGCTGTTGCTAAGTTGCCCAGGTTGGCCTTCAACTTGCCATCCTCCTGTCTCAGCCTCCTGAGTTACTAGGGTTACAGGCATGGTGGCCCATGCCCAGCACGTAACCTCTTTTAATACAATAACCCTGAGAAGCTCTATTATCTATCCCTATTTTATAGATGAGAAAACTGAATCACAGAGAAGTTAAGTGACCCTAAGTGGCAGAACTGCTCAGCCAGGGCAGTCCAGCTCCAGAATCTGGTCCCTTATCCATGGACATTTTTATGCCTCCAGGTGCCCCTTGAATGGACTCAGTCTTGAGTCCCACTGGCAAAGGGAGCTTGGGTGATATGAAAGGGGTCCTAAACATCCCAGTTCCAAGCTCAGCCTACTGACTTCTGGCACCTCGACCTCTTCCCCTTGGCTTCAGATCTTGCATCTGTGAAATGAGCATGACAGTCCCTGCAGGTCCTCCTCCTGGGTACCACTTGCATTGCCACCTACAAACCCCAGCTTCAGGAGAGGGCTCGACCTGAGGTGACTGCCCCATCCTCTCTCCCTCCCAAACCACCCAGGCAATGACTATATCGTCCCTCGGCACTGTCCGGAACTGGCGGAGATGAGCCGGGTGTCCATTCGCATCCTTGATGAGCTGGTGCTGCCCTTCCAGGAGTTGCAGATAGATGACAACGAGTATGCCTGCCTCAAAGCCATCATCTTCTTCGACCCAGGTACCACCCACACTTCCTAACCCATCCTTGATTCCCCAGATACTCTGTCAGACTTCTCCTGCTGGGTTCCTGACCTGACATGAGAATCAGGAGAGATGCTTTCCATCAGCCCCATTCAATAGATGAGGCAAGTCAAGGTTCAAAGGGATAATGGGACTTGGCAAGGCAAACTGACCCCAAAAGCCTGGGTTTTTTTCTCTCCCTTCCTTTCTTCCCCTCCTCCTTCTTTCTCCTGATTTCCTGTCTTCCTTCTTTGCTTCTTCCAAAAAATTTTTTGAGATAATATCTACATGATCTACATGTACTGAAAATGCAAATAATCTACCCCCTCAGACCTCACTTTTCCATAGCCCACTCTCCAATAAATAAATTTCTGATTCTTGTAACTGATCCCTGTGGCAGTCATCTCAACAGTCTAAAATAAACCATGAAGCCTTATATTTCCGATTTGGGTTTTGGTTTTTCGCAGTCCTGGGAATGGAATCCTGGTTCTTGTGCATGCTAGGCAAGCACTCTCTCCCGAGCTACATTCCTAGCCCCATATTTCTTGCTTTATGCATTTTAGATCATAGTTCTCCTCCCATCCTGGCTAAGGATGCTGCTCTTCTCCACTGCTGTTCCCATTTTTCTCCCCCATCTTCCCTATATATTTTTATTGCTGTGTTCCTGTGTCCACTCATTGCCTTTGGAGCTTTTGGTTGTGTCTCCCCCACCTTTATTTATTGTCCTATCAACTGTCCACAGAATCTTCTGACCCTTCACTTAGCAGGATGTGCTCACCTTGGCTCTCTTCTCCTCTCTCCATTCCATCTGTTGACTTTTGCACATGCATTTTTATAGAGTGTGAGTCACATCTGTGAGCAAGGTACCTTGACATTGTGAAGGTGCCTCAGCCCAGAGACTTGTTTGCATCCCTCCTCTCTTCCATATTAGAGAGTTCCTAGAGGGTGCTGAATCTGTCTTCAGAGATCACCTCTAATCATCACAGCAATGAAGGGGAAAAATGACCTCCATTTATTGAATGCTCACAGAAGCACAGTTTTAAACACTTTATGCACATCACCTTATAACACGGTGTCTGTGAGGTAGGAATTATTATTGCCCTCATTTGCAAATAAGGAAACTGAGACACCAAAATCAAATGATTTGACCAGTCAATCATTTGACTGGTCACATTTCCTGGAGGAAATGGCTGATTTGAACTTTAGACTATCTGTCAACCTCTATCTCTCAAGCCCATGTTCTTATCTTCCACATGCTATTCCCCTTTCCTGGAGGGTGAGAATTCTAATTCTGGTTTTTGTATAGGGCCTAGCCGGGGCTAGAACTAGGCTGGGCAGGTGACATTTACTGGGAAACACAACTGGGTTACTGGTGCCGAGTCAGAATTAGCAGCCTGATTCAGAGGGCAGGAGCTGCTCCATGAAAGTTTGTCAACTGAATAAAAGAATTCACAACCTTGGGACAGTGGAGACAGCCCACTGGAAATGTGGGAAAACTCCTTCTGCCACTTCCTTTGTTCATAAGAGAGGAAGTAAATGTATTACTTCCATGAAGGCTGAGATGAAAGTATTGATGACTTACCTCCGCTTCTAGGATAAGGATCTAGAATTTAATCAAGGATTTTTTTCATTCATCCTTTCCTCCATCCATCCATCCCTTCATTCAGTTACCTACCTCAACAAAGATTGCCTACACATGGTAGTGGCTACTGTGATGGTGGGTTAACATGGCAATTAAGACATGCTTGCCCACTTGGAGCTCAGGGTCTAGTGGAAGAGCGGTAACATCCCATGTGGGCAGTAGTGATGGAGGAGCCACAGGACCTTGGGAACATGATGGACATACAATGTAGACCTAGGAAAGCAGGATGGAGGAGACTTCCTGGAGGAGATGAGACCTTGGCTGAGTCCCCAGGTGGTAGCAGGCAGAGAAGGGGATATTCTTAATGTAGCAGGAGCTACATTAAGGAGATGGCCCAAGGTCTCCTATTGGGCCTGTTCCTGCAGTCCCACACTCTGTCCCTTATTCCCTATTCCCACAGTTTGCTCTCTTAGGAAATGTACCCTGGTTGTAGAAAACCCCAAATCTTTGCCCCCAAACTGTTAAAGAGTCCCTGTGTGATGTTGGGTGGCTAAGCCCAATTTGGGCCCCACAAGTCAGGGAACATCTGCTGTCCACCCTGACCACCCCTTTCCATTGCAGATGCCAAGGGGCTGAGTGACCCCGGCAAGATCAAGCGGCTGCGTTCTCAGGTGCAGGTGAGCCTGGAGGACTACATCAACGACCGCCAGTACGACTCCCGTGGCCGCTTTGGGGAGCTGCTGCTGCTGCTGCCCACACTGCAGAGCATCACCTGGCAGATGATCGAGCAGATCCAGTTCATCAAGCTCTTCGGCATGGCCAAGATTGACAACCTGCTGCAGGAGATGCTGCTGGGAGGTCCGTGCTGGGCCCAGGAGGGGTACTGGGGGCACCTTTCTGGGAGACAGCCTCAGATAGACTTGAGCTCAACTCTGGGCTCCATTATTGATTCAATTGGCTTTGAGTAAGTTGCTTAAACTGCCTGGGCCTCAGTTTCCTCATCAGAAAAATGAGAAGAAACAGAAGTCCATTTGTTCAGGCGCTGGGAGCCTGGCCTTTGTCAGTCAAAGTTTGAAGTGCTGGAGACTCAACAAAGAGCAAATCTCTGCCCTCCTGGAGGATGTGCGTGTGTGTGTGTGTGTGTGTGTGTGTGTGTGTGAGAGAGAGAGAGAGAGAGAGAGCGAGCGAGCTCAGTGAGTGGGCATATGCTGCTTGCATGCACACAGCTGTGTGTGTGTACAAAGGCTCAGGGGGACAGGAAATGACCAAGTATGTAATAAGAAGGTAACTATAGATTTTTTTTGAAATCAACAGATGTATGATAAAGCTTAACTGAAAAGATGCTTTGTAGATGGGTTTGGTCAAGGGTGACCTCACTGAAGTGTGATTTCTGTGATGTAAAAGCTACAGGAACATTCCAGGCAGAAGCTGCCCTTGAGGCAGAAGAGGTTTGTGTGTTGAGAAGGAAGGGCAAGACTGTGACTGGGAACTGTATGAGATGCAGATGGAGATTAGGTAGAAACCAAATCATAAACAGATGGTTGTAGGCAAGTCAGAAATTTAGATTTAACTCTCCTTGCACCTATTGTAAGTAGACTGAAAATCAGACTGATGTTGCAAAAGAAGCACTCTGACTATTGGGTAGAGAGTAAATTTGGTGGTGGGGGCGGTGAAGTGGAAGCAAGAGACCCCTGAGAATGTTACTCTCGGCAGTCATGTGAGGGACAGAGGAGGCCTGAACTGTGGCAACAGACAGCAGATATAATCTGGATCATCTATCAGGAGGAAGGACCCAAGCGCTTGCTGATGGATCAGAAATGGGGGGCGATGGGAACAGGGTCAAGTGTGAAGCCTACATTTTTGTTTTGAGTGGCAGAAATGCTGATGGAGTCATGTTCTGAGATGAGAAGGCTGAAGCAAATGGCTGGGCCTGGGGGGGGGGGGGGGGGGGTGACCCAGGAGATCCATTCAGGACCGGAGTCGAGTATGGAAGGACTGTTATTTATGTATCTGGCTTGGGTTATTTCAAGGGGGCAGCTGAATGAACAAGTCTAAGGTTCAAACCCAAGGCACAAGGCAGCTCCATGGCTTCCGACATTTAGGAAATTGGACAGGAGAACATGCCTGGACAATTATGGAGGAAAGCTTGCCCGGGGGTGGGAGGAAACAAGGAGAGTTCCAGAATCCAAGAGAAGAGTGTCTGAAAAGGAAGACAGGATATTTAATGGTGTAAAATTCTACCCTGGGTTTGTGGGGGGAGGGAGGAAAAGGGAGGAGGGGCAGCATCCACCGGATGGCAATGTGAAGGCTCTTGACTCTTATGCTTAAAGCAATGAGCAGTCTGAGAATGGAATCTACTTGGAGGGGTGGGTGAAGAAGTGGACACCGGGTGGAGAGATTTTGAAAATGCTTTATTCTGAAGGGGAGCTCTGAGGGGGTTGGGGATAATTAAGAAGGAGTGATTGTAATGATAGACCATGGATCTTGGCTGGACTGGAAGAAAAATGGGGTTGTACGTGCAAGACTAGGAGTCAACCAATGAAGAGCCTCAGTAGGGTTGAAATTTTTCAGGGATGGTACCCCATGGAATGAGCTAGAAGGATGGGAGGCAAAATCCAAGTGAGGGCGTCCGCCCTGGAGGTTTGGGAGATGGTGTAGGAGATGCTGCTGGGAGGTCCATGCCGGGCCCAGGAGGGGCCCAGCACCACCATGTTTGGAATTGGATAGTTCTTTGCCTTGAAAGGCTGCCATGTGCAGGGTTGAGCTGCATCTCTAGCCTCTACCCATGAGATGCCAGTGGCACTTCTCCAGTGGTGGCAACCCAAAACATCTTTAGATATTGTCAAATGTCTCCTGAGTGGACAAAAATCATTCCAAGTTGAGAACCACTGTCAAATGGTAGCTCATTCCATTCTCACACTGATCTTGTGGATGTGGGGTTATTATGAAGCATGGGTTACTGTGATCAGAATCAGGAGCTTGTGGTCTGTTGTGTTGGGTAAAATAATCCCTCTGGCTGCTGTTTTCTCATCTGTAGAATGGGAAGTGATGGTATCCAAACTCCAGGTTTGTTGTGAGCAATTAATTATATAAAATATGAGAAGTGCTTTAAACTAGTACCAGGCACAGGATAGGTGCTCAATAATTATTAATTATAGATCAGATGTGCCTTGAAATCCAACATCAGTCACATTAATGATTATGGCCTATTATGCCACCATACTTTATATATTATTACTCCTCCACTCATTGTTTGAAGCAGTTACTGTGTTCCTGAAACTTCACTGGGCCCTCAGAGAAAAAAAAGTAAAGAAATATATACCTATAATTGTAATGCCCATAGACAGAAGAAGTGGTTTTTCCCAAAGTTGAGTTATAGATAAATTACTGTGGATTTGGATTGCTCCCAAATTGAGTAGCAGATAAATTACAGTTAAGGAGAAAAAGAAGAGTGGGGAGATTCAGAAGAATCTTCCCAAAGGAGGAAATATCTGAGCTGGGGTTTGGACTTATGGAACTTGGGTGAAGAAGGCATCCCAGATGGAAGCCACAATGTGAGAGAAAGCTCAGAGATAGGAAAACATGGGGGACACACAGGTACTCCAAGTAGGTCAGCTTGGCTGAAGCAGAGTTGGAAGATGAGGCTGACAGGTGAGTTGGGATCAAATGGTTGAAGGACTTGCAGGTCAAGGAGCTTTGAGAGTCTTTGATTAAACTCATTCTATGACTATGCAACCAACACCCTCACTATATTTAAGTGATCTCAGAGTTCCTTATATGCTCTTCTTTCAAGTCACTTTTACTCTCTTGGTATTTTGGGTCTTCTCAATCCCATATGAGGCCTGTGGACAGGAATGGTGAGCCCTGGTTTACTAACCCTGGAATACTCAATAGGTACCATCATTGTTGGATGGGCAGGTTGATTGACCACACCTGAGGAGGACGGTGCTTCAAGGCCTGTGGTCCTTATCCCAGCCTCACCATCCTGATTGATACCCTCTTTACCTACAGGGTCCTCCAGTGATGCACCCCATGCCCACCACCCCCTGCACCCTCACCTGATGCAGGAGCACATGGGCACCAACGTCATTGTTGCCAACACGATGCCCACTCACCTCAGCAACGGACAGATGTGTGAGTGGCCCCGACCCAGGGGACAGGCAGGTGGGCAACCTGGGTTCTACCCAAGGATGGGGCTAGAAAGGAAGCAGAAGTTTGAGTCTAGAAGGTGAAACTGGGATACAACTGTTCTCTGTGTTCCAGAGCGGAGAATGAGGGGTGAGGTTGTCCATTTGTTGAAGCTGTTTAGTCAATGAGGTGATTGACAACTTCTGCCAAATGAAACTGTCCTGGGAATGAGGCAATTCATTGGATGAGGTTACCACTGGGTGAGATTTCCATAAGATAATACTGTTCACTGAAATATGGCTGCCCAGTTGGGTAAGGCTATCATTACACAATTGGAAGAGACAGTCCATGGGTTAGGGATGTCCTCTGGGATAGACCATTATCTGAGGTGAGTTTGTCATTGGGTAAAGCTCTCCAAAAAATTATCAACAGAATGAAGTGGTCCATTGCAATTAAATGGCATTTAATTGAAATTGTTCTTTGGGAAAGTTGTCCATTGAGTAAAGCTAGCCACTTGGTCGGGTTATTCTCCAACCTGTGATGGAAATGGGGCTAATTAGTTTCTGTTACCCATCTCCTAAATACGGGTGGTAGTTTTTGAGCCATTTATCCCTGGGTCCCATTGACTGCTGCTTTCTCTAAGAAAGAGTACCCCTACCATACATCTCATTTTCCTTGAGGACAGTCAGACCTAGTCCTCCATTTGGGAGAAGCAGCTCAACCCTCCACATCAGTTGGTGGAGGAGATGGGTGGAAGGACCTTCCAGATGTCATAGAATGTGGATTTTATAGTCTGAAATCCATAGAAGGGTTGAGTCATCAGACCTCAGGGATCATCTAGTTTCATTCTCTCATTTTATAGAAGAGGAAATTAAGCCTCGAAGTGAGTTCTTCTCATACTCACAAAGGACTGGAATTTTGAGCAGCTTCTGTCTGTTTCTTTGTCCCTTCAGCCACCCCTGAGACTCCACAGCCCTCACCGCCCGGTGGCTCAGGGTCTGAGCCCTACAAGCTCCTGCCAGGAGCCATCACCACGATTGTCAAGCCCCCCTCTGCCATCCCCCAGCCCACCATCACCAAGCAAGAAGTCATCTAGCAAGCCACTGGGAGTCAGGGCTTCTGCTGGCTCACCCCAACCCCCTCAGAGAGTTCCTGGCGACCACTTGATCACAGTAATGGAAGGCGTGACAACAGGGCCAGTCCCAGAGCAGCAATAGAAAGAGCAAAAGACTAAGAATGTGGGCTGAGGGCCACACTCATTGCCACCTTTGACCCAATGCTCTGGCTGACAGAGCTTTAACCTAGAGAGACCCCGGCTGGGAAGTCCTCTGCTGACTTGGATGACATTTCTCATGCTGAAGCCAAACTTCCTTCTCCTTCATCCATATCTACCCCCAAAGAATACTGTCTGAAGATAAGATGGGACCTTGCTTAAACACAGCTCCCCTCCCCCCGGCTGGGACTTCTTCTCCCCTGGGCCTGGTCATGGTGCCCAGACATGGAGCCCTGGAAGTCTTCCTCCCTCTTCTGCTGCCCTCACCTCAAATGCCCCCTCTGCCCTCTGCTGTCACCTTCCTCAGCCATCCCATCTTCTCCAAAGCCACTCTCCAGAGGTGGAGGAAAACTTGAAACCCCTCCCCCAGCCACTCCAGGAACATCTGGAGGCATTGACTGGGGCTAGGCAGAGGGCAGGAGGTGATGGAGCAGGAAGATACCATTCTTCCTCCCCTGACCCCAGTGCACTTCCCTTCTCCAGTGACTGGCATGGGTGTTCGGAGCGATGGTCCCTATAGGTCTTCAACAATGAGAGGACAGTCCAAGATAAGAACTTCCACAGGAACTTGTGGGGAGGGGGCAAGTGGCCAGAGAAAGCATCCAGGAAGAGGCAGATGGGCTATGCACTCGGCCTTTGCAGAAGGGCAGGGTTCTGGCTGGTAGAGCAGGGGAGACAGGATGTTCCAAAAGAGAACAGCCCAAGAGAGGCCCAGAGACAGGGAGGACGGTTTGGGAGAGAGGCACCAAGGTGACTGGGCTCTCTGAGCCAAGAGGGTGCGTTGGGGAGCATGGGACCTTGAATGCCAGACTGAGGGAGTAGCCTGGAGGGACAGGAGAACTGGGCTGTCAGGAGATGAACACAGTCTCTTAGTTAGAAGGTTAGGAGGGAGCAGGGAGGTTAGACAGGAGCCCACCATGTAATCCAGGTGAGTGCTGAGGCCTCAGATGGAGAGGAAGGGGCAGGAAAGCCTCAGGTCAGGGTCTGTTGAGGAGCAAGTACCCTCAGGGCCTAACTCAGGCTCTCCTTACTCCCAGGCACTGTCTTAAGGCATGGGACATCCATCCTCTCATGGAATCCTCCTATGACCTAGAGATTGTTACAGAAGACAAAATTGAATTCTAAGAAGTTAAGGGATGTTTTTTCCCCCTGAAACTCACACAGCTAGTCAGTAACTAGGTCAAGATCCAAGTCCCTCTGGATCAGACTAGGAAAGCTTAATCCACTGAAGGAACCCCCTGCCTTCACTATGATCAAACCGAGAGAACCCCAAGGCTCATTCCAGAAGCTTTTCCTATTACCAGGATTCAGGTTGAGTGGAGAATGAACTGAAATCCAGTGAGGGCCCAGAATCCTGTTTGCTGATAAATATTAAGGAGAATTCATGACTCCTGACCCCTTTTTGTTCTTTGCTCCCTAAGCCTGGGGGAGGGGCAGCAGGGGTCTGGTTTCTGGGGAACAGACAAACCTGTCTTCGGTCTAGGGGTGGATAGTTTGGGTGAGGAAGAGGGGAGGGATAAGAAACCCCAGGTTTCAGATTTTCTCTGAGGAACATCATTCGAGATACACTCTGGAAACCTTAAATCCCAGGATGGAGCAACCAGCACTCTCAATCTTTATGGCTTTGGGAAGATTCTGGAAAATGCCATTGACTGGTGGAAATAACAGGGATGTTGTCCTGGGGCCAAAAGTGTGATTAGCTAGGAGAGCAAACTATTTGATGGAGCCCACCTTCCACCCAAGATTGACCCTTCTGAGTGGATGGGGATGATACTCCCATGCCCAGAAATTCCACCATATGTGCTTGTTCCTGTTTGCTAGAGAACATGAAGAAGTATTGGAGCCATATGTTTAAGAGCCATCTCCACACCTCTGGGGCTGTCAGAAACCAAGTCCAGATCCAGGAGGGACCATCTCTTGCTCAGAGCTCTCATGTCTTCCTCAGTCACCCTCACTCCAGTGCCTCAGAACCCCCAGCCAGCTGGCCCCAACAGGTCTGCACAGGGCAGTGAAGCTGGGATCATTCTGGTCATCATGGTCATTCCCACTCTGTTCCTCCCCGCCCGCCATGTTGCTTAGCCTCTATCTTGGGATAGGAAGTTCCCATGGAATGGAGTGGGGTCATGGTAGTCTTTAATGGTAGCAATTTGTGGGGAGGGGGTGGGCAGGAGACCCATCCTTGGCCCCCAATCCACACTTTTTAAAGGAGAAATCCATCCCACATTACTAACTTTATTGCATTGCAGGAAACACAAAATAAAGACACGTTTACTTTCCTTATTTTAAGATGAGGACAGTACATTGGAATTCGTTTTTCTGAGTTGTGGTCCTAAAACATAAAGTCTGATGGACTCGAGAAGGGTTCATGGGAGGCAAATGTGGGCACTATAAATTCTCCTCCAAGACATCTCTTTCAGGAGGTTCTCAGGAGCTTCTAGAATCCACACAGCTTTTCTGAGAGCAGACCCAGGAGAGGAGAGAGTTGAAATGGAGGCTCCCCAATTTCTTGCAATGACCAAGCCAGTTGTTTGCTAGATTTTCCTGTGATCTGCCCCAATTAAGATAAATTGTGAAGTTCACATCTAGCAATTCTGGAAGTGGGCTGGGTCCCATCAGAGTGATCTGCATCTTCCTGTGGGTATGTGGATGTCCTTAGGTCCTATGCTGATCCCCAAGTCCCTGTCACTGCTGCCTGATGGGGCAAAGAAGCAAAAAAACCATTTCTTACTCTTGTGTGTTTTAACAAAAGTTTATAAAACAAAATAAATGGCACATATGTTTTCTAAGCCCTTGTGTGGGCGTCTTTTTTTTTTTCCCCAGGTGTTTGAAATAAGAATAAGGACAGTCCTAGAATCCTTTACAGTGGACAAAATGCTTTGATATCCATTATTTTGTTTTCATATCAAGATGTAAGCACATTAGACCTTATGATGACCTCCTATTGTATAGATGAGGAAACTGAGGCTCAGGGAAGTACTTTTCCTTTAAGAGGCAGAGGTGGAAATCTACCTGGGTCTCCTGAACCCAAATATTCAGTATACAGAGAGTGAAAGTTGACCCCTCTCTTGAAGAGGAGAGGGATAAGGGAGAAGGTGATGAAAAGATCTGGAAAAATAACAAGAGGGTCTGACAACTGCCCTGTCATTAGGGTCCAAGATGGAGTCCTTCTCTGGGTCACCTCAATCTGCTGGCCATAGGAGATACATAGACATGGGGACATTTCATAAAAGCAAAACTTGTTTGAAAAAATAATAAGATCAAGGAACATACCCAAGACTTTCCAGCCCTGTCCGTGACCACTTTGGTCCTTTTCCATTGGGAGATGACTTTGTGTCTTGGCCATCACAGGAAGTGCTGGAACCAGCTTGTGAGAGCCAATTGTTGGCTTGTCCCTAACTCTGTGTTGACAACATGAAATCAGCCACAGCAGAAGGCTTCACACCATAACTGGCAAATGGCACAAACCAAGGCTTTTTTTTTTTTTTTTTCCATAGAGGACCTGTTGTTCTGGCACAGCATAGTGGCACACAATGATGACTGAACTGTGGGATGTCTGCTATGGTGACGCAGAGGGTAAAGTAGAGGGACCCTCCGTTCTTCCCAAAGGAAGGGGACAGCTGTTCCGGTCTGGGAATCACTGGTCAGTGTAACTTGGGCAGGTCTCTCCACTTCTCTGAGCCTCATCTGTAAAATGGGAATGAAATCTCCCTTTAGGGATGTTGTTGGACTTTGACCGAATGAGCTAACTGTAAGAGCTACTGTGATGACCAGCACATGTGAACTTCATGCAGCCATTTTCTGGTGAGAGGCTAACTATTAAGCTCCCCAGCCTCAAGAGCACCCAGTATCTGCTTGCTTGATCCCTAGGACCACTTCTGCCTTCTCTGTCCCTTCTCTCCACTCGTCGGCACCAGGAAACATTTTCCATGATGCAATGGAGGCCCTGGGCCAGAGGAGGCTATTTCAGTCCTAAATTGTGCTTAATAAATCCATATCAAAACCATAAACCCTGGGCTGCCATAAATTCCCCTGACCTTGGCTCTTCCACCTCATCAGCCCTTTGCCCCAGTTAATCATAAATCTCGACGCAGGGCGTCACATTTAGTTTCCATTTCAGTTGCTGAACATCATCAGCTTTCGTGGCAAACGGAAAAATCCCCATTTTAAAGATGATGAAATCTAGACTCAGAAAGATGAGGGAACTTGTCCAAAGCCACACAGCCAGGAGACATTGGGCCAGGACTTGAACCCATGCCTCGCTACCAGCCCTCAGGGGCTAGTTGAGAATTGGGCTTCCAGGAAGTCTCCTCCTTTCAGCTCTTTTCCACAAGCTGATTCCATGCTTCTAGAAGCTTCTTCTCCCATCATCCCCAGTGGACAGCCCCAGTGCTCAGAGTGGGAGCCAAAAGTAGAGGGGATCCCAGGTGACAGGTGGCTGGAAGGGTCAAAGACTGTTCCATGCAGTGTGAATGATCTGTCATCCCAAATTGGTGAGATCTCCCTGCTTCCTCATTGGAGAAGCCAGGTCACCTCTGATCAGTAGTTCTCAAATCAGTATGTCATATGTAAATCCCAAGAGGTGATCTAAGAGATCTGAGTCCCAGGATCCCGCTCAGGTGTAGGATCATGAAACTGAACACTGAATCATGAAGCCAAGGACTGTTTATGGAGCTCTTCCTCTTTCCCAAACACTGCTTGGCTCAATTTACACCCACAACAGCCTTCTGAGGTAGTTATTCTTGTTCTGTGTTACAAACAAGGGAACCAGCCTCAGTAGGAGGAAGGGACTTGCCCAAGGTCCTTCGCTGGTATGACAGCTGATCAGATGCTCACTGTCTGACTCCAGAGGCCACCCCAAGGGGATTGAAGAGGACCCTGATGATTCAGGCGCTGTGTGATGGGCACAGCAGCAAACACAGGGGAAAGTCCATCCTTTAAGAAAGTTGCT